TTACGTCTTCCTTCTTGTCTCCTTCGGCGTTTTTCTCTATAGAGGCTTGTCTATGCTATGAAAAAGAACGAAAGGAAGAAATAAAAATTAAGTGAATAGAAACAGCGTCAAGATTATCGCACAGCCAACCAAAAGGTATCGCCTACAGAACTTCCATAATCTGCTTGCTTGTCCTGACATCGATATTAGTGCAACGCTAACAGCAACGAAATTCTTGCTAGATACAGGGCGTTTTTGATATCACTGGTCCTTGCACCGTGATCTCGTGTATTCATCTGGAAACAATTGTTCAAATGGCGCATAACGCCATCCACCAGATACATCACCATCCAGTGGAAAGCGTTAACAAAATTCTCTGCGTTATTCACCGGATTGATATTTATTCGGTGGATGGTGTTATCCAGACTTCGAACAACCGGGATCTGGGGTATATTGCACTGACAAATTCTCCGTCCCCCTTGAGTGGCGAGATATTTTGACAGGACACTTCCTATGAGCACCAGCCCCTAACTCTTCAGAACGCCTCTCGATTAAGTGCCGCAAAACAAAAAGCGTAGAAATCTCAACAACCAAAACAACCAATCTGAGCGAAGGAAATTATCGCAGGAACCAGTGGGAACAAAACCCAAGGATGCAAAACAAGCAAACTGCCCGGATGGTGGGAAACGCAAGGGAACAAGTTGCGATTGTTGTAAGGCTAGCATCTGATTAGTCGAGAGGGTGGCGCCAGGCAACTGCTCCAACGACAGTACCTTCATGATTGATCCTCGTTTGATTGTGCCTCTTCTAACTTGAAAGTTGAAGGCGTCTGCCGCTGTAAGGGATTGTCTTCTCTCTGCAACTTGGTCTGCCTGTGGTAAAGAGTCAAGTATCAAAGGTTGGACCAAAATAGCGACTCACACTGGAATCATATAACAACGGCGTGAAAACCGTTGGAAAGCCTAGATTTCCAAAACGGAAAATAGAAACTTGTTTTGGACAAGTGATCCGCTTTTTAGAAACCATGATATTCTTCCTCGAAGTTTTGATTTGATCTTTTCAGCGTTTTTTTGATAAAGCGTCCTAAAAACAAAATTATGGTGATCACAAAGGCCTGACAGATCAAAGGAAAATATCGCATGGTACCAACGAGGAGTCAAGGCAGATTAACAAAAAAGTGCGTGACACCTGAGTACAAAGCACTTACCCTAACACTTCCGAATAAACTGCTGGCCACGCTGCTGATCATGTGGACAGCTTGATGCTTCATTGAGACCTATGGGCAGAGATTCATGAAATCGACAAGTCAGCTTGCTAACCAAGTGGTCCCCAACCCCCGCACGTAGAGCTTTTCCCGGTCTATTCGGCATCAAGCGGCCAGGAGTACAGCTACCCCCGGCGAACTGTTTTAGAAACCTAATGGAAAGCTAGTAGGGGGAGGGGGGTAGGTAGAGACGGAAAGGAGGTTAACTGGCGATACACAAACTTGTTTAGAATGCAAAGCTGTCTTACGTCTGAAGTGGTACTGAAATGGTACTGGTCTGATGCTTGTCTTTCAATGTGTGGCCTCAGTTGCGGCTGATCTTCATCCAATGTCCCAAGTTTGTTAAAAGCTTCAATGGCTATGGCTACGAATAAACTGTAAAAAAAAAATAAATAAACATTAGTCACTAATAACAATAAATATTACTAACAGTGTAATAAGTTATTGGTCAGTATTATAAATAATGTAACAATTGTAAGCAGGACGTGAGAATTCCAAGCAATGTTGCTGCTGTCAAAATGTTGACATGGTATGCAATACTCGCACCGTTATTAATTTTAGTATTGTAAGTGAGTTGTGGTAATCCAAAACAAGAGTGTGAAGATTCTTTTGTTGAATGGAAGACGTTAAGTTTACAGCGTTGATTCACAGTTTACAAACAAGGTAGTAAGCGATGCCACTTGACATAGTAGCGTAGAATGGTATTCATAGAGCCGGAAATTAAGAAAGACAACCTTTAACACAACACTCACTTCATGATCACCATGTTGACCAAGATATATGCTGCAACAAAATACAAACTGGTCCAGTTCGATTTAGTGGCTTCCATCACCTGGTAAATGAAAAAGAGAAATACAACTTTGAATATTTCGCAAGAAAACTTTGAAAAATATCCACCAGCAATTTTTCTGAAGTGCACATGTAATGTAAGTAAATTAATTGCCATGGGGGGGGGGGGGGGGGG